GAGACACAGGCTGAAAAACGTAGGGGTAAGGAGTCATGATGTCTGTAATTAGGTCTCAAATAGTTCAGCAAAATACACATAGGAATTTAGATGAAGGGTGTGTTAGTGGTCACTGTGCTATTCTTGTAGCTTTCCTGTAGTTTTGAAATATTTCCAAGTAAAAATTTGGGGGGAAATAGCATTCATATAAGTTTCTCCAGTTCTCAGAAAACTAGGAATCCGATAAAGGCATGTTAGACCGCTTTTCATATACTGGATTGTTTCATTGACCAGAACACTTGTCGTCTTCATCCTTTCTGAAGCAAAGAATTTGCCAAATCTTTCCCACCACTACAGTAATCCCTGGCATTTTATATTTTCCAGGTGCCTCCACATCCATCATATTACATTTATTATCATAAATAGTCCCTATAGATAAAGAAATTTGTGCCTGTAAATTCCACAATCACGATGAACTTTTTTTTTTTAATGGCTCACCATATGCCAGGCACTGTTCTGTGTGTTTGACACGAATGAGTGCATTTCATCCTCCCAACCACACTTAGGGGAGGTATTACTGATAGTTAATTCCACTAGGGAATTGTAAGTAAAGAAAAAAGTATGGGAGACCCCTGTAAGTTAATAATCACTTAAGAAAGCAGGGTTGCAAAACCGAGCAGCCTTGCTTAGCAACAAAACCCTGCAACATAAGCACGGTTTCATTACTATCATTCTCATTTTCAGAAAAGGAAACTGAGGCACAGAGAGGTGGTATAATTTGCCCAAAGTCACACAGCCAGGGAGGGTGGAGTGACAGAGCAGTGTGGCCCCGGGCCCTGCAGTGTTCACCACCAACCCCCGACCATGTACTTCACACTGTGAGATGGATCATCTAAGTTTGTTGGAGCTGCCATTCCAGGAGGGCTTCTGGTCCTCAAATTTTGCTTTTCTCTGAGGGGTTCCGGGTGTATGTTCATAGGAGAAAGCGTACTCCTTGAAAGAGGGAACAACGACAACAGCAAAACTACCATCTTTGAATGCTCATATGGGCCAGGCACAGGCAAGATGCTTTCTGCCTGGTTAGTCCTCAGAACCCCTCTGCGGGGTAAAACTATTATTATCTTCATTGGACCAAAGAGGAAACGGTGGAGCCAGGCTTTGAACACAAGCAGCCTGACCCCGCAGCATTGCCCCAGCCCCCCACCCAGGCTGCCTTGCCTCTACCTGTCATCTCAATGGGTCTGAAGGTAACAGCTATAGAATGTAGCCTGTGGGGTGATGGGCCTCACCCATCACCTTGTCCACCCCCTCAGTTCTCAAATGGGGACATTTCAATGCTGAAGAGGAGGAGGAGTGGGAGAAGGAAGAAGAGGAAGAAAGCATTGCATCCTTCCTCCTTGGGGCTTTTCATCTGGCCTGTGACATTCCATTCCCACCCCTCTAATTTGCCATTTCATTGAGCAACTTTTTCTAATTGAATGCACCTGGGCAGAAACTCCTCCCCATATTGGCCCTGGTCAGTGCTTTGTCTTTTTTTTTCTTCTTTTATGAAAAATACAAGGGGAGCCCCTATTTCTTTGAGGTGGAGGTGCTTGGCGAAGTTCCCAAGCAGATCAGCCAGCCCTCCAGAAACTCTTCTGCCTTGGCGCTGTGTTGAGCTCACCTGCCTCCCTGTAGGACAGCCGGCTTGTAGCTGACCTTGGCCTTGGAGGCCCAGGATGACTCTGCTCTGGGCATGGCAGTCCCAGCTAGGGGCGAGGCAGAGGTATCCTTCAAAAGGCCCTGCTCACCAGGAGCCACCTTCCCCAGGGTGCAGGTGTTCCCCTTCCTCAGTAAACCAACAACTAATAAGTCAATTCACACTCATGAAGGAGCAGAAGAGGCAGTAGAATAAAGTAGTTAAGAGCATGAATTCTGCAGGCGGACTCCCTAGGTTGAATCATGCCTCTACCACTTATTAGCTTTGTGACCTTGGGCAAATTATTTAGCCACTCTGAGTACAGGTTTCCCTTTCTGTAAAATGGGGGGAAATAATAATATACTTCTGAAAAAAGTAAAAAATACTGGTGATTTACTGTCTCATCAAAGATGCCCAATCTTCTTAACTGAACAGTTCTACTCAATAATTCTGAAAGTAAAGAAACATCTTCCTTCAGGACAGATCTGGTTTCTGGTTACGTATTTAACTTCAAAAGCTACATTTTTTCGTCCCCCTAAAAGCCCTTTACACTTCAACATCTTTGCCTCCCCATAACTTCATATCTAATCTTTATAATTTTAGATTCATTGTTCTCCTTAACAAAAGAGTGCAATGCAATGATTAGTTAACTAAAGGAACTTCTTGTTTGTATTTTTGAAGAGAGTAGACGACTTGCAAGATCAGACAAGGTACACAGCGCGCATTCACGCTGACACAACAAGAGCTGTTGAATTTAAAAATTTATGCAGATTACTAATAAACACTTTTCATCTCGCCAGTTGGTAGAGGTGCTTTTTTTTTTTTTTTTTAAGTAGATATCTAACGTTTGTTCATTAGATTGGTTCAGCCTTTCAGCAGGGAAATTTGGTAATAAGAACTGTATCAAAAGCCTTAGAATGTTTCATAACCTCAGATTGAGAAATTCCACTTCTAGAAATTAATTCACTTCTAGAAATAATCATGAGTGTGCACAAAGATATTACCACAAAAATATTTTACAGTATTATTTCTAATAGAGAAGAACTAGAAACTATCTAAATTGCCAACAATACAGGTTTGGTGAAATACATTATGATCTATTCACTCAATGGCATACTAGGAAGTCATTAAAAATATGTTGTAGAATATTTAATGAGATGGAAAATGTGTTGACAGTATACTTTTTAGTGAAAAAAACAGCTTACAAAACTTCGCAGAATGATCTCATTTTTAAAAATATATGTGTTTATTCAGAGAATAATTTTAGAAAAATAAACATTGACATTTTAAAGGGTTATCTGGATGGTGCAATTGTGAGCAATTATTATTTCCTTTTTTGTGTGACTTATCAGTATTTTCTGTTTTCTACAATGCAGATGAATATTTCCATGATATGAAAACAACAAAAAATTATTATATAAAAAAGAACAATTCATTGAGAAAATGCTTAACGCAGAGCTTGCCTCTTATATAGGGTGTCATTTCTCTAGTAACTCGCTTCCTTAGCGTCTCCTCTCCTTGGAGGACCCCAGGAGAGGCAGGGATCCCCAAGGCCTCCTCCCATTTGGAGCATTACTGGAGGCTTGTGGTTTGCCTCCTGGTCATGTGGAATCCAGCTTTGGACAAACTGCAAAGTCCCAAAGTTTGGGAGGTAGAAGAAATGGCAACTGGAAGATTTTATTTAGAGTCTGAGCAAGAAACTCCTCCAAAAAGGAGCTAGTTTTGGACTTCCATGGTGGCGCAGTTATTAAGAATCCACCTGCCCATGCAGGGGACACAGGTTCGAGCCCTGGTCCAGGAAGATCCCACGTGCTGGGGAGCAACTAAGCCCGCGAGCCACAACTACTGAGCCCACATGCCTAGAGCCTGTGCTCCGCAACAAGAGAAGCCACCACAGTGAGAAGCCAGCCCCCTCTCACTGCTACTAGAGAAAGCCCGTGCACAGCAACGAAGATCCAACGCAGCCAAAAATAGATAAATTTATTTTTTTAAAAAGAAACTGGTAAAAAAAAAAAAAAAAAAAAAAAAAAAAAAAGAAACAAGTAAAAAAAATATATATATATATATTGAATTAAAAAAAAAGGAGCTAGTTTCTCTGCCCATGTTTTCCTCAAACAGAAACTAAGGCCGACTTCAGGGTTTGTCCAAGGCCACACGGCCAATTTAATGACAAGGTGAGGCCTTGAAGCCATGGCCTTTCCGCCCTGTTGTATTTCTAAAATGTGCTGATTTAGACTGTCTCTTCTCACACTTTAATATGCACAGGAATCACCAGGGATCTTGTTGAAATGCAGATTTTGATCCAGCAGGTCAGGGATGGGCCTGAGGGTCTGCATTTCTAACCAGCCCTCAGGCGATGAAGATGTTGCTGGTCTGGGGATCAGTTTAAGTAGCAATGGTGTAGAGCACAGATTCTAGAGCAAGATCGTCAGCTTCCCAATCCTAGCTCTGCTGCAGACAAACTATTATCATAGTTACTGTACTTCAGTTTCCTCAACCGCAGAATCAGTATGACTTAACTCATAGCTTTTTCGTGAAGATTTAATAAGTGCTTAGAACAATCTTCACTAAGAACTAGCTGTTTTATTATTATTTATATTCCTTAGAGCAAGCAGCCAAGGGCGAACCACGGTTTGACGAATGAATGAATAAACTTTGGAGTCCTTCCTGGGCGACTGGAGTCAGAGAAGAAAAATGGGAGGGCTCGGAGGTGGGGAAGAGGCCCACCTCGAAAGAACTTCTCTCCACCGGGTGGTCAGAAGGACCCGGAGCGCCCGGAAGCCGGCCGGCCCGCGCCCCGCGGACCAATGCGGCCGCCCGGGGGGAGGGGGAGCGCCCGCCAGCCCTTTCCGTCTGGGCGCCGGAGGCCCCGCCCCCTGGAACGTCGCGACGTCCGAGCATTCCACGGTTGCTACTCGGTCGCGAGGGGCGGGGCGCCTGTCAGGGAAGCGGCGCGCTCGGCGGCGGGGGCGGGCTGAGGCTCCGCCGCGCAGTGCCAGTGCCAGCGCCAGCGCCAGCACTAGACCCGCGACCCGCGATCTCCGGCCCGCCGCCTGCGTTCTGGCTCGCGAGCCCGCACTCCCGCCCTGCCCGTGCGCTGCCCGAGTATGGAGCTGCTGTGCTGCGAGGGCACCCGGCACGCGCCCCGGGCCGGGCCGGACCCGCGGCTGCTGGGGGACCAGCGTGTCCTGCAGAGCTTGCTCCGCCTGGAAGAGCGCTACGTGCCCCGCGCCTCTTACTTCCAGTGTGTGCAGAGGGAGATCAAGCCGCACATGCGGAAGATGCTGGCGTACTGGATGCTGGAGGTACCGCCCGGAGGGTCTCCCCTCCCCCGCCACCCCGGCGTCCCCGGCTTGGGACATCCTGGTCCCAACAACAATCAGCAAGATGTTTCTGTGGCGCAGATCCTCGGGGCCTGGCCTTTCACTCCTTTCACTCGTGCACCCTACCCGGCTGCCTCCCTGGTGTCCCTTTCTTTCCCTTCTCCAACCCTGACTTTGACTGCCAGTTGTTTGGCACCCCAAGTAACCCTCTCTTCGGGCCGGAAAAGCGGGACAAGGGCCACCCTCTCCCCTCCGGCTTCTTTCAGCGTCTCCCGCCTCGCTCCCCCGCCCGGTCTTCTAGGGAGAGCGCGCCTGGAAAACCCTGGGCTCGGCCGCCCCCGCCGCAGAGCCGGTTCCTGTGTGTCGCGGGGTTCTGGCGGGGAAGGCGGTGGGGTGGCGCGCTGTTCCGGCAGTCAGGGAAATGAAAAGTGCGGGAGGCAGCCGCTGGCGTCTCCTCCCTTCCCTTTGGGTGTGTGCACTGGGTGGCGGTAATGGGGTTTAAGGTCCCAGTTCTCTGGCTCCCGTGGGTGACTCTTCCGTCCCCTCTCACCCTCTGTATTGGTGTGGGGGGGGGCAGTCTCAGTTTGGAATCCTTAAGGGAGGAAGCCTCTGGCGTACCCCGCTTCCCCCCACCCCCGGGAGGAAGGAGGCACCGCAGAGGAAGTGGAGGGGGGACGACACCTTGGGGAAGGCGCATCCTGCGTATTAGTCCTTGTCACTGTAAGTACACCTACCCCCTCCCGATTATTGCTCCCTATTCCACTTCCCTTCAGCGCACCGCCCGCCCCCCCTTTAGTGCTGCTGCGTTTCCTTTGCCTCTGCCCCAGAAGTGACTGTGCGCCCTCCCCCAGGTGTGTGAGGAGCAGCGCTGTGAGGAGGAAGTCTTCCCCCTGGCCATGAACTACCTGGATCGCTACCTGTCCTGCGTCCCCACCCGCAAGGCGCAGTTGCAGCTCCTGGGTGCGGTCTGCATGCTGCTGGCCTCCAAGCTGCGCGAGACTACGCCCCTGACCATCGAAAAACTGTGCATCTACACCGACCACTCTGTCTCTCCCCGCCAGCTGCGGGTGCGTGCATAATCCTCCCCACCTCCCAACACACACTGCCTCTTCACTTACCAGGAAAAGGAAAGCTAAGGCCCTCAAGAGGCTTTCTGTCCCTGGGGAGGGTAGCAGAGGCTTTTTTTTTTTTTTTTTTTTTGATAAGAGATGGGACAGTGTGGTGTGATGGTCAGGGTAGCCCCTAGCCCAGGCTTGCACTGCCAGCATGAACCAAACCCCTTCTCCTGATCTCCAGTGGGTGCCACTCCTTCCTGGTCTTTCCCCCAGATAGCAACAAGTCAAACTGCATGTCTACACTCACTAGTACTTTGCCTCTGGGTTTACACAGCCACCATGAGTTATTTATTGGCAGCAGCAGGACATGCCTACGCACCCCCCCTGGAGTGGGGGAGTGGAATGTGCTTCATGTGGGGGAGGGGGGCCGCCCTGGTTGAGTCTTTATCCCAGTGTGTGGACTTTGTGATCGAAAAGCCTCCCAGAGCAGATTATAGCCAGGGTTGCTGTAAGGAAGGGCCAAGGCGTTTCATCCCACCTTCTTTCCTTCCTTTTATATCCCAGGAGAAACAGCTCCTTCCTAATTCTCTGTTCGCTAGCCTCACTCTGGGAAACTTGAGCAGCTGCTTCAGGCCTGTGGAATCATCTCTTCTTTTCCTCTTTAGCCAAAGGCCAGAGCTGAGGCACAGACTGGGGCTGAGCTGCAGCTGCTTCCGATGTGATAATGATGCCCTGTCCCCTGGCCCACCCACTCTGACCAAGGTCTTTCATAACACTGTGGGGAGCTGCTGTCACTCCTGTGGTTTGGGAAGTGGCTCCCTGGGCCTCTTGCTGGGAACTTGGGCTGGGCTCTTCCCGAGGCAGGACAGGGGAGACACCGGTTCTCTTTCCCCACTGAGCCTGGAGAGGAGGTGGGGGAGCTGCTTGGATCTGGAAGAGGTTACTTAGGGCGTGCAGATCGTCTCCCGAGGGGCGGGGGTGGGGGGAGACGGGTGAGCTGGCACCTTCCTCCACCTTGCTCTACAGCGGCCCAGTCTTCTCTTGACCCGGAGAGGAGTCTCTGGGCCCCATCTCCCGGGGAGGAGGGCAGCGTGCAGGCTGCTGTGATTGGCTGGCCAAGAAGCCAGGGTACTGGGGCCCCCGAGTGCTGCTTGTCGAGGAATGGGATTCCTCTTCCTGCCAAGTAGCTCTCGGAGATGGGAGTAGGAGGCCGGAGTTGGGAATCCGGGAGGCCCCACAGCTCTTTGTGATGAATCTGGTAGTTTTTGGCCAGTCTAGTTTTTGGTAGTTTTTGGCAAACCAGTGGAGCTGGTTTTCAGGGCTAATGAGCAAGATGTGTTTGGAGGGGTTTAGGCTAGAAGGTAGAAGGGGACTTCCTTTTTGTGAAAAGATTAGGATGGGGTGTGTGCCTTTACGTGAGGAGAGTTTTTCAGAACAGGCCAAAAGTCCTCCCCATGCCTGAGCTGGGGGTTGGAGTGTGCCGATCAATGACTTCCTAGAAGGTCAGAGTTGGAAGGGACCTCAGAGAGCTCCAGTCAGTCCAAATCCTCATGCCACAGAGAAGGTTGGGGCCCAGAGAAGGAAAGAAAGAAAGGTCCTGCCTCAGCATTGCACTGAGGCTGAGGAGAATTTGGATGTTCTAGCACTCAGGTGGCCTTAGAGGTTAGGGATGTGATGGAAGCTGCCAGGGGTGTGTTCTTGGCCAAGTGAGGGCTGAGATTCTCAGGGGCTGCCCTGATACAGGGTAAGGTGGCTGCCCTCCCTCACGCAGGACCCTATGCCTCCCCACAGGGAAAGCCCCACTCCAAGTTGCCTTCTAGATGTTTCCTTGGATGCTAGGTGCTTTCTGTTCACTTCATTTTTTTCCCTAAAGGTTTCTTTTTTTAAAAAAAAAATTAATTAGGCTGCATTGGGTCTTCGTTGCCACATGTGGGCTTTCTCTGGTTGCAGCGAGCAGGAGTTATACTCTTCCTTGTGGTGCACAGGCTTCTCATTGCGGTGGCTTCTCTTGGTGCGAAGCACAGGCTCTAGGCACGCGGGCTTAGTAGGTGGGGCTCACGGGCTCTAGAGCGCAGGCTCAGTAGTTGTGGTGCATGGGCTTAGTTGCTCCGCGGCATGTGGGATCTTCCCGGACCAGGGCTCAAACCTGTGTCCCCGGCATTGGCAGGCGGATTCTTAATCACTGTGCCAGCAGGCAAGTCCCTCTGTTCACTTCTGAGTTAGGAGTTTGACCACTGGGACAAGCACTGGGAGTAGAATGCTAGCTTCTCTGCCCAACTTCTTCCCGCTCCAGGCTGGGCTGTTTTCTGTGGGGCTCTGTGAGAGGTTCAAGAGGATGACACCTAGGTGGGGGCCAGGAGAGGGACACTGTGACTGGGGGCCTAAAAGAGGTTGGATGGGGTTGCCATTTCTACCTCAGTAAGGGGTCAAACCCATGAGTTCCTTCCTGAGATAAAACAATGAAGAAATCCTCATGTGTGCAACTCAGAAATGGGGCCAGGGCTGGGAACCCCAGATGAGTGGATTGGGGTGGGGCTCCCAGCCTCCCTCCAGGACCTAGCAGTGGTATAGAGGCTAGGGCAGGCAGAGAGATGGTTTGATCCCTCAGGGATCATCTGGACCCATCCTGTTTGGTTTGGCCTCCACTTCTCTTCCTAAGACTCAAATGGCACTAGGCACTATGGGTTCCAGCCAAAGAGGTGGAGTGGGGTGCTCTATCTCAGCCCTACACCCCAATGTCCCACCAAGGGGATGTGGGTTGGGTTGGGCAACCTCCACTTTGAGGAACCTCAGGGTTGGCTCAGCAGCTGTATCACAGGAGGTGTGGCCTCATGCTCACCCCAGATGCTTCAAGAGGTGTGGACTTGGATGGGATGCTGAGTTGGGGGCAGGCTAGTGATCTCCCCCTTCACAGATCCTTGGGATTATGGAGAATCTTTCTGCTTCATGCCAGAGGAGCCTCAAGTTCATGGTGATGGTGGTGGGGTCTGCTGCTGCAGTCTTTTCTTTCAGCCCTGGCTGGAGAAGTCCTCAGAGCCTTGCAGGAAGTCAGGAGAAGGCCTGGACTACTGGATCCCAAAAGATAACCCAGCAGGATTGAGAGAGATAATTCATGTAAAGCATGTAGTTCTGGCATCTAGGAAGTGATCAATAGGGCTCAAAGCAAGTGCCCCCACCTCTTCCCTGCCACAGTGCCAGTCCTTAAATTCAAAAGCAGAACTGGGGTCCTGACCTTCAAGTGTGATGGGCTTCCCTCCCTGTGAGACCTCTGCTTTACTCCCTCCCCTTCCTTTCTTTAGCCACTGACCCTACCCTCTTCCTCAACCTCCAGGACTGGGAGGTGCTGGTCCTGGGGAAGCTCAAGTGGGACCTGGCCGCCGTGATTGCCCATGATTTCCTGGCCCTGATTCTGCACCGGCTCTCTCTGCCCCGTGACCGACAGGCCTTGGTCAAGAAGCACGCCCAGACTTTTTTGGCCCTCTGTGCTACAGGTAAGAGTCCTAAACACATTCTTACCAAGCCAGGGAAATCAGAAGACTTGGAAGGGTGAGCGGTAACCAGGAGATTCTGGTTTCTTGAACTGAAATCTTGGAACAGATTTCTGGTTTCTTAAATTTCTTCTCAAAATTTATTTGTGAAAATTCTATTCCCTCTGAGCCCCCAGTCTCAATACAGAAAAGCAGCAGAGCTGTATGGGATCTCAAGAGACCACCCCCCCACCCCCCAAGTATGTAGGTGGGTCACTGAGAGCTTAGAGAGAAGTGACTTGCCCAGGGTCTTACAGTGACTAAGTTGCGAGCAGAAACCAGGTCTCTTAACCCTGATTTTGTATCCACACCAGGAAGAGACTCATTCACTCCCTGGTCCCTGGCCAGGATCACTTACAGACCACCCTGGACCCGACCCTCTCCAGGAAAGAGCCCCTTTCCTGCCTTTCTCCCCTGCTGCTATCTGACACCACTCGCTGCTGGGGTTTTCAAGAAGACCCCTGCTCTGTTCATACGGCCTGGCACTTTCTGGGTAACAGAAGGTGCGTGCTGGTTGTTATCCTTGAAACCACCCTTGCCTCATGGTCCCCCCTCTTTCCAAGATTACACCTTTGCCATGTACCCGCCATCCATGATTGCCACGGGAAGCATTGGAGCTGCAGTGCAAGGCCTGGGTGCCTGCTCCACATCTGGGGATGAGCTCACAGAGCTGCTGGCAGGGATCACAGGCACTGAAGTGGTGAGTGCTGGGCAGCTGGGCAAGTGGCCTCAGTTCACGAGGCAGCGCTATATTCCCTGAGCCTCCAGCAGAGGGCGCTGTCGCTCCCCGGCCCCCGTCTCCACTCCTGGTTTCGAGTGCCCTGCTTTTGGGGCTTCTGTGGCCTTTTATCTCCTTCCTTGGTCTGGAGAAGAGCAAGCGTCTTGGGCGGGCTGAAGGGCACTGTCCCTGGGTACCCTTTTCTTGCCAAACGGTGTGCAGGAGTGGGGGTGGGGGATTTGGTGTCAGATGCTGGGCTGCTCTCACACCCTCTTGCCACATCCTCTTGCCAGTTTCTGAGAATTGAAAGCTGATTCCTGGGGTTGGGCTGTGGCCTAACCTCCCCAGACTTCCCTGTGTGCTGGGAGGTGTCCTCCAGCACCTGCTGCCACATGCTATGGGGGGAGGGACGTGGACCTTCCTCACCGTTCCCCCTTGTTCCCAGGACTGCCTGCGGGCCTGTCAGGAGCAGATTGAAGCTGCCCTCAGGGAGAGCCTCAGGGAAGCCGCCCAGACCTCCCCCAGCCCAGCGCCCAAAGCCCCCAGGGGCTCCAGCAGCCAGGGGCCCAGCCAGACCAGCACTCCCACAGATGTCACAGCCATCCACCTGTAGCCCTGGCGAGGCCCCCTCGAGTGGCCACCGACAGCAGAGGAGGGGACACTGCCACCCCCCTCCCTGCCTGCAGGAACGAACCATGCCACAGCTGAAGCCCGAGGGGGCTCCTTCCTACTTGCCTGTCGCAAGCCGAAGGGGTCGGGTCCTACCTGTCCCTGCAGTGTGCACTAAGGGGCCTGGCCAGCTGCGGCAGGTGGCCAGTCAGGCTCCTCCTCCTCCCTGCATCTGACCAGCTCAGCCCCATCCCGGTCCTAGCTGGGGGCGGGCCAGGCTGGCCAGAGATGAAATTGAAGTCTGTAGAATACATGTGCCAGCATTCCTTTTGGGGGCCCCCTTATCTCTGGGGCTCTCGTGTTCTCAACTGCCAAAGTTGAACCCGGGCCCTCGGCAGTGAAAGCGCGGAGTCCTAACCACTGGACTGCCAGGGAATTCCCTAGTTACTGCATTTGGATTGGGGTCTTTCTGAAGAATCCTCACATGTTCTAGACACATGTGAGAAGAAAGAGTGGACATCTCCTCTCAATGCACTTGGAGGCCCCTGCATAATCCATGCTCTCAGCTGCTCCTAGAGGGAGGGGCCCTGGCCTCTGTCTGAGGGGCAGGAACCAACCTCCTCGCTTTGCTTTCCGCTCAGCTTCTCCTGTGTGATTGGGGGGTGGAGGGGCAGTGCTGAAGGAAGAGGTTGTTTTAATTTATTGATTGATTTGAGTACAGCCGTAAGAGGGTGTGGTGGGGCCCATCTACCCTGAGTGGTGGTGACCCTGGTGGTTGCCGCATTCCTCCCCTATCCTACCGCTAGAGGATCTTCGTGGCCAAGGAGCTGCTACAGCCTGGGCTGGGGCCACGCCCTCCTCTCCCTCTGGCCCTCTGCTCCATCCTGCAAGGCTGGGGGATGAAGTAGCGATGACCTGGAGGTGACCAAGCCCCCTGTCTGGAGAGGGAGGCAAGCCCTGTCGACACAGGTCTTTCCCGAGGCCACAAGGTCCGGGCTGGTGGCCCAGGACCATCATGCTACCTTAATAAAGATTCTGAAATAAAACTCTCTTTGGCTTCTTGGATTGGATGGCAGTGTGGGCAAAAGCCTATTTTAGAGGGTGGAAATCAGTGGTCTCAAGTAGGGGTCATCAAGCCTTTTCTGTAAAGGACCAGAGTAAATACTTTAGGTTTTGTGGGCCATATGGTCTCTGCCCCAGATATAGTCAGTTTTGCTTCATAATGTGACCTATGCATTCCTAAAAATCACTGCACCATGCAAAATTGCACAATAAAAACCACAGGGCTTATGGGGAAAATGGGGCTTGAGGCACTATACTCATACTTAATGAGGGATACTTGTCTTTTAAAAAAAGGAAAGATAGTGCTTTTACACATTAAATGGTTAAAAACACATACTGCAATAAACATGGCCCTTTATCTTGAAAAACAAACAACACCTGAAGTCTGCTGTGGAAGTGGAGGTCGGAAGGATGTGGAAGGCGGGTTGTGACACCAGATGTGGGTGTGGTACCAACCCGCAAGGTGAACTGGTGTCGCTAGCACATGTCTGAGGTATATGCATTCTGTGTATCATCTGGCTCAGCTCAGCTGGGTACAGTTTCCTGCTTTCACCTAGTGTTTCTCAAAGACAAAACTGCATATAAATGTGAAATCTGCTTTATGATCAAATTCCTCCCAAATACAGTAATTAGGCTGGAACAAATCCACATTCTCCAAAGCACGTAACAAGGGTTCTAGCCAGACTGTGCTCGCCTCTGCTGCTGTGGCATGAAAGTAGCCAGAGAGAACCTGGAAATGGATGGGTGTGGCTGCATCTCAATAAAACTTTATTTATGGACACTGAAATCTGAATTTCATATAATCTTCACCTATCACAAAATATCCTTCTTTCAATTTTTTCCCTAGCCATTCAAAAATGTAAAAATTCTTAGCTCACGGGCCGTAAGGAAACAGGCATGTGACCCTGGTTTGCCAACCCTTGGTCTAAAGCTTTCATTAGCTAAGAAAGTTAGGGAACTGGTCTGGTGGTGACCCCAGGCTTGACCTTTCTCGCCTCTGTATCTCCACTTTCCTCTAGGTGCTTTCTCCTAGCTCTTCCAACCACACCTGAGACCATCTTGTGAACAACCTCCTAGTTGCTGGCATTCTCCCAAAGTAGCCTGTGTCAGGGGAAGGCAAAGGCTGTGCCCTCTAGGGGCGGGCAGGGTGGGTACAGCCTCGAGAAACAAACTTGTCTGAGGGGGGCACGGCTCCCATGTAAACCGGGGAAGAAACCACTGCTACACAGGAGCAGGGATGCAGTGCCCACCTCCACAAAAGAGGGAAAGCAGAAAGATCTCCATCCACCACATCAAAACACTGAAGTTCAATAAATACCTGCCTTTTGTTTTTATCTACCTCCCAGTGAACTGACACAACAGCCTGAGAGAAAGTACCCACTCCAACCCCCAGCTGGCAAGTGGGACTGTTAGGCTGTGGAGTTTCAAGTCAGGTCCCAGAACTGAGCAAGGATGCAGGCCTAGAATGGAAGAGAGAGCCGGCCAGACTCAGTTCTCCCTGTCAGGAACTGGGGAATCAGAGGCCCGTGACCTCTCGTGGCCCTGAACTGGGTCTTCAGCTATAAAGGCTCAGTGTCACCTTTAGTCAGCAGCAGGGATCCTGGTGTCCTCCCATGCCCTGCAGACCAGGACGAGCACTGCTTCGTCACTCCATGGTGATGGGAACATCTTCTACATCTCGGGGGATGGCACTCTGAAGCTCACGCCTGATCTCGGGGGACAGCAGGGGATGGGGCTGCAGCCGAAGTAGTTCCAGGAGGGCCTCCTTCTGCTCTGTGGCCAGGTCAGCCTTGTAGCGCTGGACCAAAGTCAGGAGGCACTGGTGCCAGAGCACGGGCAGCTCACGCTTCTCCGTCCGGAAACCCAGGAAGTGGAAGACCAAGGCGTCCAGCACCCGGTAGGGCAACGCGTACTTCTTATCCAGCAGCAGCCTCAGGAAGATGCTGGTGGCACCGCTGTACTCCATCTCTGCGATTTTCAGCATGGCTGCACTAGTGGGGAAGGGAGGTAGGGAAACGCTGGAGGAAGGCTTCTCCTTTTCTGGCCCTTACACTGTGCTATCCCTAAAGGGGGAATCTCCGGCATTCTTTTCACCTCCCCTATCTCACTCCCTGGACTCCAGTTACCAGCACTACGCTGACTCACGCCAAATCCCCACGTCTGGCTCAGACTGCTTGTCTCAGTATTCAACTAGAATAGGTCCAAACATACTGAGATCTCCACCCCTCACTTACTTTCTTCCCATGTTCCCCATTCTTTCATTCATTCAACTATTTACTGAGCACCTACCATGTGCCAGGCCCTGGGACCTTGTTCCTGTGGGACTGATATTCTTGTGGAGTAACGATACACCCACTGGCTTAAATGAGCTGCAAACCCAGGGCTATGCTTAGCTCCTTCCCCACTCTGCACCCCCCCAACCCCAGTCCTGGGACTCTGCCGTGCGGAGATCCGCCAACCAGTGGTCCTCCACCCCCACCGACACTACCTGGAGTGCAACACAGGGATGGAGCACTTGGTGATGATGCTGCCCACGATGATGGCTTCCCGGAGGGTACAGGTGCCTGACTCGCACAGCGGGATCAGGATGCCTGGGGAGGGGCCGAAGGGCAGTCACTCTAAGCCCAGAGTGAGAGAAAGGAGGTACTGCAGGAGCTCCAGCCCCTCCCTTTCGTAAGTGCCTCCTGGGTTCCCACCTTTAAACCAGGCTCCAGGCTTGAATAGAGCCTTCTTCAGTGCCATGTAGAGGTGGAAGTTGAGTCGCTTGTACTCAGCAATGTCATCTCGCACCCGGGGGAGCAGGACCAGGTTATAGAAGCGCTGGGCCATACGTTCCTTTAGGTTAGAGGCGAAAATCCTAGTGTTTTTGGAGGAAAGGGGGGAGATCCCAGGTCACCTGACAGTCTGGAGCTGGCCTTTTAAATATCAATGTGGATGGTACATGCAAGAGATCGGAGGGTGTGTGAAGTGAGCTGGGTGTATGCAACACCCAGGTCAGATGAGAGAGGGAACAGGAGGGGCTACGAGATGTACCCAAACAGGGTGAACACTGTCTGTCTTTGGGGTGAGCCAGAGCTCTCCCAGGCAGACAGGTACCCAGCTGTTCACCTTCCCCTCTCCATCATGGGTCCCTTCTGTCCTGCTGTCACCAGGGACTTGTGCATGCCTGGGGAGCCACAGACTTTTGAGGCCACCCTGATACCCTAGGGTTGTATCCTTGTAGTTTTGAGCCTCTCCCCTGGAAACTCATCACAGGATATTCTTAACAGGGTCTCGGCTCCAAAACAGGAAACAGAAAAAGCTGGGAAAATGATGACATAAAGAAGCATAAGACAGCGCTGTGGGGCCAAAGCTAGGATGTAATGGCAAAGGGAAGGGAAGCCTGTCCTTCCCACACCCAGCCCTTTCCTAGAGACCCAAAGCAGCCCTGACCCCCATCTGCTCTACCTTGTGGCTTGGTACATGGCAGCAGCGGTCCAGGCCTCAGGCTCTGTGACGTAGAGGATTTGCTCCCAGTTGGAGAGGGCAGGGATGATTTTAAATGCCTTGGGCAGCTTCCCACTGCGGTACTTAGACAACACCTGATGATGAGAGAGTAAAATCATCGTCGTCATTAACATACACAATGCTTACCAGGTGCCAGGCACTTGTCTGGGTGCCTTTCATACATTAACTCACTTAATCCTCACAACCACCCTGTGAGGAGGTGCTATTATCATCCTCATTTTCCAGTGGGGAAACGGAGACCAGAGAGTCAAGTAAGCAGGAGAGCAGGACCCTGGCGCCATGCACTCTGACCCCTGAGCCCGCTCTCAGCCACCAGGCCTTATTTCTACGAGAGATGTGGGCACCCAAAGCCCCTGTGAGGGAGTCCCATCACAGCTCTCCTCTCAGCTCTTACCTCCCGGACCCCTCTGTAGACCTCCAGGACCCGGGGGTCCAGCTGGGGCACAGGGAAGCCTGACACCTCGGACATGACCGTCTCGACTTCCGTCTGCTTCTCAGTTAACTTCTCCATGATGATGTCAGCTAGGGTGCGTCTGGGAGAAAGGGAGGGAATGGGTGGGAGTGCCGTGCTCTCAGTCCAGGAAGCTCTCGACTCTCCACGCAGTCCCTTGAGAGCCCCGAAAAACTTGCAATCTTGTTGGGACACGTGATCTCAGTCCCCTCTGGGCCCAACAACCCAGCACAGAAGACCTGGCAGTCAGTCATTCAGCTCAGGATGGAGCTGACAGTCGTGTGTGGAGGCGAGGAACCTAGCCTCTGAAGTCAACCTGCCTGGGTTCAGGTCCTGGCTCCTCTGCTCCCTCCCCCGTAGAACAGGGATAACAACAGTACCTACTCTCATAAAGTCAACATGAGGAGTAAAAAAGTTAGTGTACGTACTCTACTTGGAACTATCAGTGATAGTAGTAATGAGTTCGTGACAAGTGCTCCTATTTCAAACACATCCACCAGATGCTGCCAGTGTGCTGAGGACTCTCCAGTTATAAAACCCTGGTCTGGCCTCTCCAGAGTACCAGACACACCTCAATTATATACCGAGATTTCTGGTAGCTGGGATCATTAGGGAGAGACGATGGCACACACTTACCCCCCTTTTAATTTATTAAAGTTTATGGAAAGAGGTCCAAGGTGAAAGATCTTTTTTTCCCAGCCTCCTTAAGCACAATCAGACCGTGATGATTCAGAATTATCATTACATTGGGCTTTGGTGCAATAAAGGTGTCTTCAGGGTCTGCTGAAGTCTATTTAAAATGGCTCCTTAAAATAGATAACTAGGGCTTCCCTGGTGGCACAGTGGTTGAGAGTCCGCCTGCCAATGCAGGGGACACGGGTTCGTGCCCTGGTCCGGGAAGATCCCACATGCCGCAGAGCGGCTGGGCCCGTGAGCCATGGCCGCTGAGCCTGTGCGTCTGGAGCCTGTGCTCCGCAACAGGAGAGGCCACAGCAGTGAGAGGCCCGTGTACCGAAAAAAAAAAAAAAA